AAAGCGACGAATGGATATATAATGAAAGAATTTGCATTTAAAATAATAAAGAATTGTGAATTTGTCGAAACGAATGGATATATAATGAGAGAAATGACGATTATTATTTTAAAGAAATTGTGTTTGAGAATTAAAAACTTAGAATTTGACGAACCGAATGGATAGAGAATGAAGGAAATGCCAATTAAATTGATAGTTTGTAATCACCGTATAGATGGCAAAAACGATCATTCCAGTCCGTTGTAAGTGGGTTTTTGGGAAAATGATAAAGTCCAAAATTTTATCACGGGAAAAGTAAGTCTTGTGAAGCAGTGTTATTGTGGTGAATATTCTTCTGGCAATAACATCTGAAGGGACATTACCTTGGTTCGCCTCGAACATTGGTAAGTACCTTTAGAACTCTTAGCAAGATTTGACTTCCCTGGATTTTTGACCTTCCGTCAAAACTCCAGTAGGTGATCATACGCCGTGTAGGTGAGGGCGAAGAGGACACTCTCCATTCGCTCTCGGGGTAGAGGTTAGGCCCAGGGGTGACGACTAGTCTCCTGGGGAAGCCGGGTACCAGCTTTGGAGTTTTAGTTCGCGATTTTGACGCTCACGGCGAGTGAGAGTGTGTGTGTAAGAAGTATTATTTTGTAAAGACCAGTTTTGATAGTTCTGATCGAATCTTTGTTACCGACGAAAGGTACGCGTGCGCCTACCGACGTAAGATTATTTTGCGAAATCGTTTTCTTTGTATTTTCGTTTTGATTAACGACATCTGTTAATCTAAGTCTAGTTTTGGGGTTTTAATATAACCTAAAATTGTATCACGAGCGTTTTGTTTATTTTGTAATCTTTTTCATTTGATTTATTTAATTGGATTTGATAAATAAATTGTTTATTTTGTCTTTAACATAACCTGTTTGACTTTTCGGATTTATTTCTATAGATTTAGTTATATATCTATTATTTACATTTAAGTAAGTTTTGTTTTTGGCTTTACTTCGTTATTTTTTTTTGTAATTTTGGTGACAGCCCCTTTTATGACCCTGGACTTCGGCGAGCTTCAGATTCGAGCAAGGGGGGCGTTTGTGTCGCAGTATCGATAGTTCACTGGTTTAATTATTTTTAAACCCCTCAAAATTACCCGTTACAAAATACTCTGTAAGAAATTACTTAATTATAATTTTTTAATTAATTACACAATTAATTTTTTTTTTTTTAAATGAATGAGTGCTATGAGGCGTGCACTTTTGGATTTTCCAAACTTTTTTCAAATTCGATAGAAATACCATTTAATATGAAATATATTATTCATATTAATAATCAATTCTAAAAAATGGTCAATTAAATATTTTAGTTTTTATTTAACTTAAGTTATTATCAATTGATAATAATTTTCTTTTAATCAATATTTTTCCAAAAATAATAGTAATTTCATGAATTAAAATATTTAAAGTAAAATATAAATATTGTAATACCTATTATATTTAGGTATCTTTTTATTGAGTTCATAATTTTTAATACAGACTCAATCATTTTGTTTATCGAATATAGTAATTCTATCCATATTTTTTTAAATTCATATTATAGACCATTTTAATAATTTTCCGGAACTTTGTTGGAAACAAAATCTAGTTTCGTACTACAATATTTGTCTTTTAATTCATGTATATATATACATTATTTTTGAATAAATATTAACTAAAAAGATATATTATCACTTGGTTAAATAATAAATAATGAATTATTTTATGAGAAACATAATATATTTTAAATAAATAATTAATGATACTAAAATTAGCCGACATTTTTAATTTTTTGATTTTATCTTTAATAATTAAATTAGAACAAAAAAATACTTTTAAAAATTGCACTTACAGTTCTTGAAGTTTTTTACAAGTGAAAATTTTTTTTTATTTTGTTTAATCATTTTTTCAATAAAAAAAAAAATTCTCAAAATTCTTATATGTCAGCTAACTTAATTTTCATAATTAAAATATTTTATAATTATCGATTGTTAACTATTGATACTTTGAAGCTCCAAAATTAGTTTATTTAGAAAAATCTTTAATAATATTGAATTAAATTCATATGATAATTAATGATTTTATATTTATACGGTATAGCTAAATTTTTACTATAATAAAACCTATTTGATTGTTTTTAACATTTTTCTTTGATCATTTTTGTATTTTTTTTTCTTTAAAATTTTTTTTTATTATATGCAAAAGAAGTATAACTTCTGACGCATGTACATAAGTACACACACCATTTTTTTTTTTTTCATTAATGAGTATTAAAATAAATTTATAATATCGAAACACAGTACCTTGAATCTTAATTTTCCGACGGGTGGCTTGGCGTAAGGAACTCCATGAAAAGCATAATAATAACTACTTCCGTCGACATTTTTCTTCTTAATTCCTCTTAGCCTACCCTGTTGGGTCGAAACAATAGGTCGACTATCAAAATCATTATCTGATAAAACTAATTGTAGCACGGTTGTACTGATTAAAACTGTACTAAATATTAATCTGAGTATCTGTGTCATTTTGAAAAGAATATTCAATTATCAACAACTTATACTTATTACGCACACTTGAAAAATGGACAAAATTAAGTCGACATACAGTTTTTTAGCTCGAGATACATGATTGTACAACTGTGATAACGTAAATTAAAGTGGCTTGAATATTTTACAGATATACTAACAACTTTATCAAAAGCATGTTCTTATTTATATAAAAAAGTAATTAACTGGCTATAATAAATTACTACTGTCTTTTCAAGCCGGAAAAATAAAATTTTATTCCCTACGTATAAAAGTATTTTAATTGTTTTTTTATATCCGGTATTTTATGATTCCTTCAACATTACGATATGTTGAATTTTTTTTAAATAATGCAAGGGGCTTATTTATGGCTCCAATGTATTTTTAGACTGACATTAAAAGGCATATAAAAAGATAAAACAGTCGGTATGTATTTATCGTTGCCTTTTTAATATGTTTCATTACCTGCATTTAACAGGTTTTATAAAATTTATTATTTTTATACTATAAAAATACATTTTTAGATTGAGACATATATTACCGGGTGATGTATTTTGAAACTTTTCTTATTTATTTATTAATATAATTTTGAAACGTTTCCCTTAGTTAATTTTCTACTGGAAGATAGTTTTTTTCTTGTAAAAATTTAATGAATAATTTCATACATTGTGAAATTTCATATTCCCGAGCCAGTCTTACAACGAGGTTTGACTGTATATGCCCCTTGCATTATTTTGTTGCATTGAATAATTTTTGAGGAGTGTTTTAAAGAAAATCATAATTTTAGCAGCTTTCTTTTATTTTTTATTGCTACTTTGTTAAAATAAAAAAATATAAACTTCTTATAGGCCTCTTCAAATGCAAAAATATACTCAGTGATTAAACTTTGTATTAAAAGCTAATAGCTAATACTTATTCGATTTAAAAAATCTTTTGATAATATGAAATAACTTATGAACTATCAGTAAAATTATTCAGTTTTTCTTTTGAGCAAATTCTTCTAACTGGTGCAAAATATCCGACACTCTGATTGTACAAAGATCTTCGGATATTTTCAGACAATTGTAGTCACTTGAATTATCAACAGGTTTCCATTCAACAGAAATTAACTCCGAAGTTTCTTCGTTTGGATTTCTGTAACAAAATAATCAACGATTACAATAAACAAGGTTTTTTAAATTCATCATAATTCTGATTAAATTACCCAGTTTTTGCAAAGTTAGTCCACAACTCGATGAATCTTTGATGAATGATCTGCTCAGTAGGATAGGAAACAGGTTTTGCGATTCCTCTTTTCTCCAATATTTTAGCATTAAAAAGATAAAAAGCTTCCTCAAGAAGAGCCGTGCCTAATTAAAAATTTGTCGTATTATTAATTATCAATCTCATAAATTCATACATTTAAAAAACATACCTTCTAAATCAGTATCGAAAAGTTTCTGCACGACTGAAGTTTCTTTGGAGTAGTGATCGATCCTCACCCGGAGCATTATTTTTGCCAAAATTTGGAACTTGAAAAATTAAAAAATTACTTCTTGAATAGTTTGGCTCCAAAAAATCATACATTTAAACATGAAATTCTACATATTTGTCTTGAACTAGGACAAAAATCTTCAAATTCCAAAAGTAAATAGTAATTAACTCATTGAAATAACTACCCAATTCTGTAAATTATCTTGTATTAGAAAAAAAAATGCTCATTGTATGAGCTTCAGATGTTTCTGACAATAACTTCTAATAAAAACTGTCCTCGAATTCATTTCATACTCCAAATAATTATTAATGAATTAATTATCATAAGAAACATGCTTGGTATTTAAAATTAAAAAAAAAAAAAGATCAACTACCATAGAAATACAGAGGTGTAAATCTCAAAAATTTATTTTCTTTTTTTTTTACACTCATTAGGATTTTTTTTCATCCAGTACTTATGACCGGCATGGTTAGATCTAATCCCAAGCATAGCTGATTTTGAAAAGACATCTCTCGTTACAAAAGGAGAGTAACCAGCAATATAATCATCATTGAGTGGATTATTCTTCATCCTAGCTAATTTTGATACTCGTTGATCTGGTACAGGTTGGTCAGCAGAAAGAATGGGGTTGACTGCGTGTTTACCACCTTTTGGCGTCGGCAATGAGAATCTTTTTCCACGCACCGGCAATTGTTTCTTATAATTGATATGAATATGTTCAACACCATTTTCGTCTACGGACACCGCGACTTTTTTTAACGTCTTCAATCCGCAATTGGGACAGAAAACCAAATCCATACGGCTTGTTTTCTTATAACAAGCATGACAACGGAAGATGAAAGTTCTCAGTTGTTTAATAACTCGTCCATCAAGAGCCGCAACATGCATACCCATCTGCATTAGTACATTTTGCATTGCAAAATCTGTTGTCATACATGCTACTTTCACCGGTTCCTCCGATAATGTGTCTGCGTCCATCATTTTTTTGGCTTTAACAATATTACTGGGAGTTATCCAACCAGCTTCGTCACTGTCTTCATCTTCATCCTCATCCTTATAATCTTCATTAGAGTCATCATCATCATCATCATCATCATCATCTGCAGACTGATTTTTAACAGGGGCTAGAATCTCATCAACAGTGTGGTTCTCATCATCCAATTTAATTTCTTCAGCATTACAATCCAAATTTTTAAATTTCTCAGCCAGATCTGCTGGATCTATTTGTTCTAAATCTGAAACATCTTTTGAATCATCTCCATTTAATTCAGATAATTCTGATTTTACTCGATCATCCTCGTTAAGGGAATTAATTTGATCTACTAAAGTTTTATATTTTTTATCATCATCATCATCATCATCATCATCTTCACTGTCATTATCACTGTTTTCACCACCTTTAGGATTAAAAAACCCAGCGATACATTTAGGATGAGCTAAAGGCTCTGATTTCTCTAACGGAAGTGTTTTAGCAGTTGTTGGAGCCGATTTGATGTCATCTTTACCAATTTTTTCAATATGCAATTGCAATGTGAGCGCAATAACTTTAATATCTGTCGATGATAAACTTTTATAATCTCCAGTTTTCTTCGCGAATTCAGTCACTAAAAAAAAAGTATAATTACAGTTAGAATTTAATTTCACAGCGGGTTTTGAGTAAAAAATTACCTGTTTTAACGTGTTCAGGATCAACATCTTTGATTTGAAGATCGTAGGGAAGGACAATTAATCTTCGAAGTTGCCTTTTACTTTTGACTTCTGCTGTAACACTTTCTTCAGTAATTGCATTAACTGCTACTTCCTGTAATGAATAATAATTAATATAAACATATATCAAAGATAATGATAATAGGTACAATCTAGAAGGCACTAACAGATTATTTAGATGGTGTGAACTAAATAGGCTAAAAATGAATGTTAAGAAGTGAACTTTATAATTGAGCATGGATGTCTAATCTTAGATCCAGTTAATAGTTATCAGGTGGAGAAATTAAAAAGTGATCAAACAAAGCTTGTCAATCATATAAAACAACAAAAACATTTTAAGTCGCATAGCAATGGGAATAAAATGTTACATGTATTTTTTATTTCTATTTAGATATAAATGATTTTAATCTATGAAAATTAAGTTAGCCGACATTTAAAAATTTTTTTAATTATTTTTATTGAAAAAATGACTAGAAAAAAAGAAAAAAAAAATTTCATTTGTAAAAAAATTTAAAAACTGTACCTAAGTACAATTTTTAAAAAATATTTTTTTGTTCTAATATAATTATTAAAAAATAAATTAAAAACGTCGGCTAACTTTAGTATCATTTTTAATCTTGTGATATTATCTCAATATTGTTTGTTCTGACCATGAATTTATTTGTTTATCAGTTACCTTTAAATATCAATGATACTGAAATTAAAAGAGATCTTACAACTTTTCAGATTTTTATAACAATTAAAATAATACTAAAGTTAGCAGACGTTTTTAAATTTTTGATTTTTTTTCATTAATTAAATTAGAACAAAAAAATATTTTTTAAAAATTG